CTTTGCAACTCCTAATGAGCACTCTAATGCTCGTTAGAACCAACTGTAAGATACCTGAAACCGCTCAGCTCCCAGGGCCCTGGCCCATGAACAGCCTGCCTTCTGCTTCTAAGGATATATTGAAAACGTAGTGCTGAAACAAGGTCTTGGCCTCTCCCTGGAGTTCTAACTCCGAATGTGAAACAGTGAGGTAGGGGCTTTGGGGAATGCAGAAAGTAGAGGACAGCTCACAGGGAAGGGTTTGGTGAGCTACCAGGGACACTGGGGTGTAAAATGGAAAGGGAGGGAAGGGTCATGTGGGAGGCAGCATGTGCAGTCATGGTGGGCTCTCAGGGCCAGGGTGACCTACCTGACCAGAGAGAAGGGGCTTCAACATCCCAGAGCCCCTGCTCCGTGCCAGACACGCTACCAAGCCCTTCACTTAGGTTATAATCCCATCTATCACCCTCACTCCCGCCCTGCAGGGAGCTCTTACAACATCTCTCTCAATGATTGGGAAAGGCAGGCTCAGGACATTACCTTACTTAAGGTCACTCAGCTAGTAAGGAGCAGGGCTGGAGCACAAACCCAAAGTGACTGACAGGATGGCTCATGCAGGTCCATCTTCTACCCTGCTTTTGTGTCTCCCAGGGAGGGTTTGGAGAAGCTCTGAGAAATAATAGGGCACCAGACTAGGGGCTTAGGAAAAACAGGACCACCTGTTAGAGGGAAGGCATCAGAAGCAAGAGTAGGAAGACTGAGTGCCAAATGGCTTGGAGAGCGGCCAACTCATTTATCCTCTTTGGCCTTGGTTTTCTCATCTGTAAAAGGACAATGGACCAGATTGTTGCTTCTCTGAAATAGGGAGCGTCAAGGCTCTTGAACAAAGAAGTGGCTGCCACATAACACTGAAGGGGGCTCTTTTTGAGGCTGGTGCACAGGCTGGTTTGCAGGGGAAGAAAGCATGCCAACAAAGCCTGCTTCATTGATCTGCAGAAACCCAAATGTGAGGTGAAGTGGGCAGTGCTCAGGTGCAGAAGATGAGGTGCTCACTGCTGCAAAAGAGAGGTCAAAGCAAGACACAAGAAACACCTCAAAGGCAACGCTAAGAGCATTTGGGGATTGACTGGAAGAATAACAATAATAAAAGCTAACATTTACAGAGGCCTCTACTTGTTATCCCACCAAGTGCTCAGCTACCAGTCTTCACAACAGCCCTGTCGCTGTATCACGGGTGATGAGGAAACTGAAGCTTACAGAGGCAAAGTAACTCGCCTCAGGTCACAGAGCTGTCAGATGGCAGAGGCAGGATTTGAACTCAGGCAGTCTCAGTGCAGAGCCTGTGTTCTTAATCCCCATGCAACACCTACTGCTCCCCGTGTGGTGAAGCAAAGACCACCACTCTCAGTTGGGCCTCTGCATTTCACTCACATTGATTGACCTTCGTAGGATGCCTCCTCTTCTCCCTGGTTCAAATTCCCTTTAAATTCCAGATTCCACTTCTCCTTAAAACTTTCAACTCTGCTCTGTCCACCCATCCACACCTATCTCCCACTGTTTTCCCCTCAGTCTAGGCGTGCTCCTGGAAGTCCCAGAATGTGTTATGCCTACTCTAGTCCCCTCTCCTACCCATCTGACATCCACACCTCATCCAAGCTGCATGCCAAGTATCATCCCTCTGCCCCCAGAGTTAGGCTCATCCTCCTCTTTGCTTCTATCATCTCTTTACCTATTTTGTGTATGTATCGCACTGTATTTATTATATATTTTTTGCCCGCTTGTCAATGTTTCCACCTTCCCAATAACAGAGTGAGCACTTTGAAGGCAGGAAGAGGCTGAGTCTTAGTCCAATCTATGCACAGTCCACAGTATATAGTGGATGCTAGATAAATGCTGATGAGTGATTTAACATGACTGAATAAATGAATAAACATCTGAGTCCAGGAGAGGAGGCCTGGCTCCAACCCATCCCTCTAAACAAGATCACATTTAGTGTTTATCATAAAGGCTTTGCATGTCCTTCTTAAAGAGTTGTTACCACTGGTCCACTTTCTGCCTTATCTATAATCCATCCCATTGATTCACACACACACACACACACACACACACACACATTCATATATACATACTCACATGCACATATTTCTTCCCTGAGTGGACCCCAGACCAAAACCAGAGAAATAAATGTCCCTCCCCCTGTTCTGTTCTCACTCAGACACATTAATTCTAAGCACAAGAGGAGAGAACCCAGGCCCAACAGGGATGGGCCAGCTGAACCCAAGCCAGTACCTTAGAAGTAAGGCTTCGTAGAGCAGGGTAATTGCCTATTTGGTTTTCTCACCTGCATGGCAGCTCTTGGCTTCCCCCTTCTATGTGGGAGGGGGACAGTCCTGGCTCAGAGGTCTCCCAGGTTATCCTCCCATCCCAGGCAGTCTGAAGGGAACCCACTGGCTGAGCGCTGGCCTCTGCAGGCCCAAGCAGACGGAGCACGACTGCGGAACCACTTCAAGGACCAACCTCTGCTCCTCTGCTGGGCCCTGCCTGCCAAGACAGGTCAGCGGAGTTATTCGTGGTACTCATTAGCACTTGCATAGCTCTTGAATTATTCCTATGTTGCTAAGTAGCCCCCAGAACACTGCAGACTCATCCTACTTTTGAAGTCCTTGTTTTGTAGGAGAATCCAAGAAGTTGATTCCAAGTCTTCCCTCCCGGCAGGGATCCCAGTAGAGCAGCACAGGGGGCAGCTGGCTGTTATAGAGAGTTGAAGCCAGGGACCATTTCTCCCCCAGGGATAGATGAGACCCACTGTGGCAAAGGGCCTCCCTGTCTGACTGCTTTGTTCTCATCTTCTGTGGATGACTGAGGTGGGAGGGAAATCATATGTCATTTACTCCGCTCCCTCAGTGCAAAGAATGCTGGCGGGGCCTGAGTCTAGATTCCAGCATCAATGTGCTCTGTAACTCAGGAAAGGGGCTCAGCCCCTTTGAACACTGGTCTCTAGTACCTGTCCTGCCCCCTTCGTAGAGAAAACCGTGATCACATATGTGAGTGGACTCTGAAGTATTAAGAAACATGTCAGTGTGTCTCAGTGGGTCACTGAAAGCTGTGACAGTTTGGGGAGAGGGACAGAAGCCAGACCCTCACTCCCACAGCTGGTTGTCAGAAGGCTTCAAAGAGCTGGTTCCTCCCTACTGCCTGCAGATGCTGTAACCGTGGAGGACAAAGAGCAAAGGATAGACTCCCAGGTTGTGGTCCCCCATGGGCCCTGAGCAGGTGCCACCCCTGGGTCATCTCAGAAGGGGGCTTGGGGACCAAGAGAAGGAGAGAAGGGAAGTGCCAAGTGTATTGGGTCAGCACCTCCTCACAACCCAAATAAGCAAAGCTAGATGTTGGGTGGAGTCTGTAGCAGTGATGGAAGGCACGCAACCACCGAGATTCCTGGGTTTTTTTTTTAATATTTCCGATCAGGCCCTGTGCTAGTCTGTTCTATACGTGAGAGAGAAGAGAGAAAAACGAGGAAAGCTGGTAATTACAGTTTCTAACCCACTGAAAGCATGGCAGGAACTGGCCCAGAAGCATCACCCCCTCACCCACACCACACTCCTTTATTACACACGTACACACACATATACACACACACACACACACACACACACACACACGTCCCAGCGTCCTTTACGATTTCTCTCAGGATGAGCAGAGGCCATTTTGCCTCAGGGGCAGCAATGGCATCCTGGTTTCCCCAGGGGGGCAATCAGATCGCCCCACCCAGTCTCATTACACTGTTTTACCTGAGGATTGGTTTAAAACAACCAACCAGCCAACACCAGCCTTTTTCCGCCTTACTATTTCCTCTCTCCATCCCTCCTCCCATTAATCCTTCATGACATACTTGCTTCAAATGGAAGACTCACCCCACTTTCCTCCTCTGAGCCTACTTCTGTCAGCCTTCACCCATTGCTGAAGTCTGATTCAGGCCTCACCTCCCCCACGGAGGCTTCTGATGCTCCCTCTTCTCTGAATACTGTGCTACTTGCAGCTAATGTGTTTTGAGCACTTACTATGCCAGGCGCTGTGCTAAAAGCTCCAGGCATGAACCGTTTTCTTTCATCTTCCCAATAACCCTAAGATCTTCATTCATCAAATGAGGAAGCTAAAGCCTAGAAGATCACATAACTCACTAAGATTCACACAGCTAGTAACTGGCAGAGCCGGGATTCAAACCCAAGTGTCCTGACTCTAAGCCAGTGTAGCAATGTACAAAGACAGTGGCTTTCCAGTCCACAGACCAGAGTTTTAAGTTCGGCCTCCAACACTGACAAACTTGGGGAAGTCCTAACACTCTCTGAGATTCGATCTCTTCATATAACCACATCAACTGTGGTTAGGATGACATGAGCTATCCCAGTAAAGCACATGCCCCTTTCCTGGTCTGTCCCATTACTTTAACACCCTTTCTAATGCCTTGTTCTCTCTGACCAGTCATCTCACAGGCAAGCTAGGAGATCAGACCCTTCAGGGGGAGACTAAGGTTTATGCTCTAGGTTCCTGCAACCTGGATAGCTACTCCAAAGGAAAGTTCCATAAATATTTAAATTGGTTAATTGAAAACTTTAAAAGGATGCTTTTTCAAAATGCTTTGCCACTGTAGGAGTCAATGACCCAGATCAAATCAGGCTTTCAGAATCTGCTCTGCTCTTTCCCTGTCGCCTCTCCCACTCCTCTTCACCCACTTCTTGCTGTGGTGTATCCACAACATGACAGGCCAGCTTGACTCCAGCTTCCTGCCCACTGCTCACCTTCAAGCTATAGCACCTGCCCTCTTGTCCCAACTCATCTACCCCATCTGAGCCCCTGCAACCAGCCTGAGTCAGCCACATTCCTCTCCCCAGGAAAGAAAGAGAAAAACCCATCAGGTCTCTGCTCTGCCTTGAGATTGAACATGTATCTGTCTTCTTCAGACCCATCTCTCCAGCCCCTCTCCTGCCCTCTCCCTCAGGGGCCCAGCATTGGGTACTTACCACCTTTTCCAGTTTTCCATCGATCCCTTAGGATTCTCAACTGTTGTGCTCATCTGAGGGGGAAAAAAAAGTCAAATAAAGGTACTCATTATCTTTGAACATTTGATTTTGCAGTACAACTTGCATGACTCTCAAATATGAGGTCAATACACAAAAAAATCATTTAAATTGCCTGATATTAAACAATTCTGACCTAGAGAGTGAAGAGCTTTTTGAGTGATAGTTACATTGATAAAAGAGTCACAATGACAGGTTTCCAAGATGAAAGTAATGGATCAGAAAATAGAACAGTAGAGAAAACACAGATGAAAGGCAAATAACCCCACTTGAAATCCAAAGCTTTCATTTGGGGGGAAAATATTGCCAAAAGCACTACTTTGTGTTAAATAGATCATGATAAAAGGAGCACACACTTGCTGCCTCCTCGAGTTTTTATCCCCCAGTATCTGTGTCCCTTTCCATCTTTAAGTACAGTGGCCTTTGTGGTGACTGTTTCCTAGGCTGGTGATGCTGGTAAAGTAAGTGCTAAGGACACTTGTGGGTGGGTGGTGCCACCTGAGTGACAGAGCCAGGCTCCCCAGACCCCAGCTCCCCGTCCAAACGGTTAGCTGAGCCAAATGCCAGCCTGCCCTCCCCCACAGCTAGAGCTCCTTTTCAGTAAAAGAGCGCATATGACAAATACTGAACTAGTACAAATAAAGCATTTTATTTAGAGTAAAATTTAAAGACATATGAACATAAAGCCTCTGAACCGCTGTTCTTTCATTGCTATTTTCCACAGCCTAAGCCAGTCTTTGCGCCTGTCAGATTTGAGTCGAATGCACTTTTCTAACTCACCTTCAACCTTCTTGGAGTCGGTCCTAGAACTTTCAGTGGCTCCACCAGGCATCAAAACAGGTGGTGCCTTTCTTCCACTTTATCTTTAAAGTCTAAATAAAAGAATATTACCGTTACTGGTTTAGTTCTAGAGTAAAGACAAGCCCTATTATGGCAGCCCTGTCACTTCTCTCGGCATTTGGAGTTTCTATATCTCGTTCCTTTAGGGACCAGAAGATTCTTTGTCATATATGCCCCACATGTGCACATGTCACTCCTGTCCATCTGCTCAGAAGAGGTCAATTTCCCCCACTTTACTGCCTCCCTAACCTCAGCTCTTTGCCCTTTGGAGCATGGTATGCTTATTGACTGATTTATATTTACTTACAATTGGTAGTTATGTATTCCAATGGTTTTTACACTGGCTTCTGACCCAGACTGCTCTTACATAGACCTCATGAAGATTTAAGATTTTAAAAATCGCATTTAGAAAGAATTCTGTGAAATTCCACATGAAAATGGAAAAGGTTTTAAATGGGAGATTAAAGTGATCAGTTAATAAAGATTACAGGAAATTACTGATTGCAGGGCTGGGCTGGACAGAAGAGACAAAGACAAAATGTCCAGCTGAGAGCAGGGGTAAGGTATGAGTCCAGCAGCATCACAGATCAGACCTCTAATGCATGGAGTACAAAGAGGTTACAGTGAGCTAGAGGGAGCAGGTCAAGAGCTTGGGTCAGGTATTCAGGTGTCTGGGAAATCAGCTGGTGCAGGAAGGTCCAGACAAGTTTTGGGGGTCCAGGACCGGGAAGTTAGAGAGTGCAGTCAACACCAATAACACATCCAAAGAGTGCCAAGCTCTCTGTCCTCTGTGATCTACTCTCTGTGGTGTGTGGTCAAACCAGGTACATATAGGTACACATGAAACTAGAGAGAGAACCATAGCTACTGATGTCTGTAGCTCCTAATTGCCACAGGGGCCGAGGTGTTAGTTGTTCTGTTGTGTATCTAGAAATCCTCTGAAGTTCTATCAAGCCTCATCCCCTGATGATTAAATGCCAATTGTGAAACAGGGAGACTTACTCCCAAAACCAACAGATGTTTGGGCTGTCATCATTATGCCTGTTTTAAACTCATTTGTGATTTCAATGTGAAGTCCTGTCTGTGTTATTTATTAGAAATCACTTATATAAGATTATTTGGAAAATCATACTAGGCCTGAGGTATCTATCCATCTCAATGATTCATCTCTTACAGCAATGCAATCTGGCATCTTGTAGGAGCATTTGGTCAACTTTCCATCTCATCAACCTAAAAAAGTTCTAGAAATCTCCCACACTTTTTAAGGTGGCCTTTATCAGATACTTTAGTTTCATGAAAGGTAGACTAATGTTTTCCATCTTGTATACAATGCATTCTCTAATTATAGGGTTAGCCACTTAGCTCTCTGGACTTACGTTTTCTCACATATAAAATTAATCAATAGACTACATTGTTGCCATGGCTCCTAATTTCTAAGGATCTAGTTATTTTAAGCACTTTGTTAGCTGTCTTGACCAAAATGACATCACAGGTGAGAAACAGGCTGCAGAGACCAAAATTCTTCTCTGGTTTATACTGTCAGGGAGAAAGAAATTTTCCTACCCTTTTAGGTTCTTCTGGCTGGTCTAAGGATTAAATCGACAGGAGACAGATTAACAGGAGAAAAATCAAACAAAAGTTTAATAACATGTACATGGGAGAGACCCAGGAAAACGGAGTAACTTGCCAAAATGACTGAAGCCCTCACCTTAAAAACTATCTTTAACCGAAGACAAAAAAAGGATGTTGGGGGTAGTGGTTTGGGACTTCAAAGGGCAGGAAGGCAATTCACAGGAAGATGGAAAAGCAAATGTTTGGCAAATAAATGTTTGCTGGGCCACCACAGAGACAATGGGACACAGAGTGGACTCTGATCTCTAGGCTCTACTGAGTCTCCCTCACCACACTTAGCCCACATTCTTTGCAGGTATCTCTGGCGATAGCTCAATTTTGGGAACAGGTCCTCTATCTAAGTTCTTTTAGGCACTTAGGGAGAAAGTCAAAGTGTTTTCCTGAGTCTTTGGGCCTTGATTGTTTTCAGCTCAAAATAATCTGCCTGCCAAAGAGACTTTTGGGGGTGGCAAGATTTGCTCCCCTACAATACCCATTAGGTCAGAGCCAACCGCTTCATATGTTGTTTGCGTTATTTGCTGCTAAACACATCATGACCTTGTCCACATTAAAGGTCATCTTCTATTTTTATGCCCATTCACATGGCCCCGTTTCATCATTACGAGCAGCTGAGCATCTTAACTCCTAAAATGCATATGGATTCTTTCTTCTCTTACCAGATCAAATAAAATTCTTATATGATAGATAGTAAAGTCACTTTTCATAGCTCTTCATTCAGAAAATGATCTCAATTTTTGTGATGCCTTTATTCTAATGAATAACAATTACAGTTTTCAAAGCACTTTTCAGACATCCGTTGCCTTATCTGACCCCTCACAATAATCCCATTTCCTTTTTATTATAAAGTAGTTTGTAACACAATATTCCTACCCATGTGTAAAAGTTGTAACAACTTCTCTTCCTAATAAACTTTGGCATGAAATTTTATCAAATCCTTTCGGTAGTTATATATATTTTTTTCATTCATTGTATTCCTACCCAAATGCCTGCTTACCTGGGGAAAGAAATCTGGTAGACCCATGAAGCATGAATCCAGCTTCCAGAGTGTCCCTGGAACGCACAGCCGCAATGGCCTTCAGTGATCACCTGTCCCACCCACCGACCCCTGAACATGGGATCTTGTTCCCAGTGACCAAAAGGCACTCATCTCTCAGGGGCTTCCTGGTTTGGGTGCAGAACCTTTGATTATAGGCTTCTGATCTCTGTAAACTCCCCTGAGTAGCACCTCAGCTAACAATTTCTGATTTGCACACGTCAGGTCTCACTTGATGGCTTTTCCTGGTCTCTCTCGTAAGCATTTTTTTCTTGCTTCAAAGCTGCCCTTTCCCCAAGATGGCTGCTTTGACTAAATGAATCAGTGCCAACCTTTGTGATCTGCTGCCAGCTTTCCTGGGCTTCAGTCAGCCTGTTACAGAGGCCTCTGGTCTTCCTACCGGCCGTTTGTTCTGCTCCTTTTTCCTCCTAATTAATGCCTGCGTCTTATCTGAGTGGCCCTTCTCAAACAGAGTTACTGAGTGATTGATGTGTTTGGTTGTGTTTTCTTTTGGAACCCCTCCGGATCTGCCCAGACTTGAATTAATTGGGCTTTGCTCACTGTTGCAGAGTGATTCGCCCACCGCGTATCCCTTACATCGAATCCTGCTCACCACTTAGAAAAAACCACAGTTAGAGACTGTTTGGCAAGTCTTAGTGCTCACACGGTTTCCAACTGAGGGTCAAGGACGGCTCAGCAGTTGAGAGCTTGGGCTCTGAGGTCAGCCGGAACTGCCTCTGACACAATGCTCTTGACAAGGTACGGAAGCTCCTAAACTTCAGTCTCCGAGCCTATAAGAATAATAGGACCTACTTCATAGAAATGTTGAGAAGATCAATCAAAATGATGCATGGAGAATGCTCAGTACTTGGTAAATACCCAATGAGAGTTATTACTGATTATCCCACTCAAACCTTGGGGATACGCAAAGCAGTTCATCTTACCCCCAGATAATGGACGAAAACACTGGGCTCAGAGAGGGCACATGGCTCACTCTATGCCACACAGCCTGTGCATGAGCCACAGCAAAGCCAGGGCCTGAATCCAGGTCCTCTACCTCCTAGACTCACACGGTTTCCACTTCCCTAGCAATGCCTCTCAGAGCCAAGACCTGAGTCTTCTACAACAGTGGTTCCCAAAGTGTGGTCCCCAGACCTATCTCATCAGCATCACCTGGGAACGTGTCAGGCATATCAGTTTTGGGGTCCCAGACCTAATGAATCAGAAACTCTAGGGGTGGGGCCCAGTAATCCAGGCGTTAGCAAGGCCTCCAAGGGACTCTGATGCTCACTCAAGTCTAAGAACCACTGCTCTATGGAATAATAATGTCTCTCTTGATCTAACTCCTGAGATGGATGGTCCATAAATCACACTGTGATCCCCAACTTGAGTTACCCCTTCCAGCTCTGTGATATTATCCTCACCAGGAATTTGTGGTTAATACCTACTATACTGTTCAACTGTGGTGTGGTTCTCACCCCTGGACACACATTAGACTAATCATCTAGGGAACTTTAAAAATAACACAAAGGCCCACCCCAGAGCAGTTAGAGTTCAGTTGTAAAGACAGCCTAGATTGAAAACCCCAGCGACAGAGCTGCCCTGTACAGACTCCATGGCACTCTGCCGGGCTGGGAATATTTTACCACATTAAGGCTTGTGTGCTTTACAATCCACTTTCATTAAATTGGTTTCTTTCCTTCCTGTGAACCTGGGTTCCTCAGTCTGGTCAAGCCCTCCTCCTCGTGCCCACTTATTTGCACAGCTGCTAGCATTCGCACAGAGGTGTTTACTTAGTATATCTCAGCTGTGCTGCCCCTGTCCACACCCAGGGTTGTCCTGTTTGATCTAAAAAGGTAATGACAAGGTATGATAAACATTAAGCATTGACTCACTATCATTCTTATTTTTCTTCTAATAACTTAGAAGGGATAAGAGAAAATAGTTTTATGATCATGTTGGAGTATTAAGGATCCCAAGCTCACTCCCTGGCCCACCAGGATCACAGCCATACACACACAGTACTGGTTACTAAGAAAGAGCACAGTGTAAGCCTTTCTGACCCTCTCATTGGATGGGAGCATCCGGCTTGGGCCTGAGGCCATCGTGAGGCCTCTGTTCCAACATCCTCTAGATGGAAAATCAGCAGTCTTCCAAAAAAGGGCCAGCCCAATTGCCCACCTGGCTCAGGTAAGGAGGCTGAGAAGATTGGGGCTGCCTCCCTCACCCCAGGAGGGCTGGCCACCGTGTTTACAGCGCAGAGCAGAGGAAGACCCTAGTCTTTGCTAGACTCCCTCCATAGAAGTGACCCACTCTCCAGTAAAATTCTAGTTACTACCAAAGAAGTAGATTCTATTTATTAATGAA